TTAGCCAGGGGTGGAACATGTCTGAGTAGTTGTACTTTGTTAATATAGAGTACTTCAATATTACTTTGGTGCATTTACAGTACTTTACTCAAGTGTTATTGAAATTGAATACTTCATTTACTCTCACTTAATTCCATTTCCAACTTACTTTTTACTCCTTACATTTTTGTTTATACCTTCAAAAATGTCATTACACATCATGAAGTTCTCTTCTTCTCTCATCAAGACAAAGACTGTACCTTAAGCATCAGTCAAATGGGATCAGTTTATTATTTAGTCAGGCATATATTATACAAATATATATTTTTAAAAAAGCACTCCAGTTTGTAGTCTGTTGTAATCTTGTCATGCTAAACAATGTAGTTAATGCTATTGCTATTTGTGTGTATGAATATGGATAAGCCGCCAGAATGCAGTGTGGAACTTGAGGATGCGTGCCCCTTGCCCTAACTCAGGAAAAAGGCATGAAACCCATTTAATTAGCAAAAGCATGTTGATGTACGTTCTACTAATTTGCTAAAATTAACTAAATTGGTCTGTATTCCTTGTTAACAGCAAATTAGACTAGCATTTATTTCATTAGCTAACACAAATTGGCTAGGCAGAAAGTCAAATTGTAGTTAATGGTAAATAATGGTTATTTACAAGATATTTTACTTCTGATTTATTCATTAACAAACTCTGAGGCATCATACTTACGACCAGCGTATTTACACGTCATACTTACGACCAGCGTATTTACAGAGACTGAACGATGTTTTCAGGTAAAATGGCAAAATAAAAAAATCATCTTCTAACAGTTTAAGGTAAGTAAGAAAAGTTACTTTTCACATGAAAGCATGACATCATTTTCTCACATTTCATTTCCTCACTTTTTACTTTTCAAAATGTGAGTACATTTTAATTAGCGACTTTATTTCTTCCACTTGGATACAATTCTGTCTGGATTCTTCCAACTTTTGAGAAAGATTTTGACACATTATCTAAAACTTAACTTAAGTATAATTTTTATAAGGTTCATTTTCCACCCCTGAGTTTAGCAAAAGCATATCTGACAGTGGGGGAAAAAAAAGGATTATGAAGAATATTTAAATCAGAAAATAAAACTATTAAACAAATAGATGGATGGACATAGGAAAAAAAATAATTAAGAAATTCAAACATTATGATAAACAGTTTTTTAGCATTATATGGCTAATCCTGCATTCAACCTGGGGTCATACGTTCCACATGAATGACTAATCCTTCTGGTATTAGAGAAGCATTTTCTAACAGCTCAGAATTTACAAGTTTTTATGTTGATCTTTCTCAAAAAGGTAGAAATAATGGGAATTATTATTATTATTATTATTTTTGTAGATGAGGCTAAATATAATTATGACATAATTTCAGTTGTATTGAATGTTCATTTTAATAATTTGCCAACACAGAAAATGTTCGGTATTCCTAGTTCGATTTTTATTTCCACTATTCTACATAGGTTTAATACACAGAAAATACTCGATGACTATGTGCTAGCTGGCTAACTTGTTAGCTTCGGCCTGTTAGTTTGTTAGTTTATGCAATGTCCATGTTCCCCAGTTGACTTTGACCCCTTCAGCATGAGCATATGGATTTTGCTTTGCCATATCAAAAGTTCGTAAATTCCTTTTTGAATGCAGTCTTACAGACAAATAAGATGAAGAAAAACTGAGGAAAAAAAAAAAAAACCTATTCGTTATACAAAACACTCTAACTCATCTGTGAAGAATGCTGATCTGGGAATGTCACTTGGCTTAATAATGATGTGAATTTTTCAAGTGCCAAAAAGTAGAATAGTCTTGACTGAACACATCAATCATCAAACTTCAACATTACTAAGCAGCATTTCAGAAACTCAAGGCCTGGAACAATAATAGACTAAAAATGACTGCATTACAGGCTATCAGAATAATGATGTGTATAGTCATAGACTTCAGATACCCACTGACTGCCAAAGGATTTGCAGCCAATTGCAACAAGATTTTTATTTAAAATTGCATTAAGTGGTCTAATTAGCTGAGGATTATTTGGAGACAGTATTTGTTTAGCAGCCCAGGAAAACTCTTTACTTGATGGGATTTTGACATTTTGTACTGTATGATGTTCTGAAAACTCAATATTTTCTTGAAGTGAAAATCTTTTGCACATTTCTCTATCACATGTAAGGGCATTTAAGCATTCCTTTCTGACTTCGCTGAAAGACAGCAATGCACTGATTGCTACAGAAACTGCCATTTATTGATTTTTTTAAAATTTTTGCTTCTAAATTAATAATGTAATATATAAAACATAAAAATAATAGAGATCACAAGTTTGAATCCCAGTGCCACAGCCATCCATGGACGGGAGCCAAGAAAGCAAAATTATCTGCGTTCTCTGGGTGGGAGAGATGGCGTAATCTCTCCCGGTCAATCACATCGACACTAGCCAAACGTAGGCATCTGTGATTTCATGTATGAGGAAAAGGGCAGATAAAGCTTTCCTTCAAGCGTGTTATACTGCCCTGTATGAGCAGCAGATAAAAAAATAAATAAATAAATAAAGTAACTGGCTGGCTTCATATGTGTTGGAGGAAGTATGTGTTTCGGTGCGTTTACACTAGCGAGCGACATGTACAAAGGCGGCACAAAGCCGCTATTTCAGCGAACAGCAGCACGTGACAGTGTGGCAAGTGACGTGCAAGTTGAGATTTTCTAAACTTTATGCAAATTAGATATGATGCCGTAAAGTGACAAATCCAAACAATGGGCTCAAATGATTCTTAAGACCAACTGTATGGTGCACATGGTACAACATTTTTTCATTCACCCTCTCAAAACTTCAGTTCATACCAACAAGTAGTTCCTCCTGCTTGACTCAAAAAAATGGAACAAAATGCTTATAACTGTGTTTTTATCTTATCCTGTCATATCTGACATGTTTTTAAATGTGGAAAGAGACATAAAGAAAAATAAAGCTTGGAAGAACAGAGCAGAGATCATTGGTGTCTCTGGAAAGTGTTTGTACAGTTAGCTTGCGCTGCTAATCTGTACCATGTAACTCAAACAAACCAACTTTCATACTGATTTATGCATTATTTCATCTGCGTTTTACTAATTAGAAGAAGATATAAATAGATACAGTATAGAGTAGAGTTATATGGTGGTGCCTCTGGTTTATGTAGCTAGTACACTTAGCTTGTACTGCTAACGAAGCTAATACAAAGCCTGGCTTTATTATTTTTCACTTTATTAAAATATTAGTATTCATTTAAAAGATTCAGAATTCATTAAAGACAATTTAAAGACAAATAAATTGTATATTATGGTAAATTGTGCGCTGTAGTATGCATTTTGGCCACTACTCTTTCTCACTGGAGCTAAACACACTGGATGGATGGTACATGCCCACAAGTGACAACGGTAGCGCTCGCTCCACATCTACAAGAGACAAACAACAAGCAACACGAGTGACTTGTCATGCACTAGTGTGAACATAGGGTTAGCCTTCATCCTCTCTAGTTGGTAGCTGTTTGTATAGGGGAGAGCTGGCTGGCGGCTGGGAATTGAGGATAAAAAGAGGAAAAACTATTACTGTGTTTTCTCTGGTGTATCAATATTATCTCAGCTGGAATGATCTTGACCTGATTTAATATTATCCTGACATGACAGGCTATAACAACCAAACATCACACCTACCAAACTGTATTCCTAATCTGTTTACGGCACAACAACATTAGCAGCACATCATCAAAGATTATGCGTTTACAAGGGAAAATGACTAATCACTTTTTATCATAAGCATCCTGCACATCAGTCCCTCTCTCATCACTTTCAAATTTCAGTCACAGCATTTTGACAAGCAGGAGCCTCATCATCGCTCTTGACTTGACTGATCAGTGTTCGCTCTTACATCAGTGGGGAAATAATCACTGATTAATTCAGAGTTTTGTACTGTTGGCTAAATTTCCCTTCAGCAATCAAACATTACAACTTTGTCCACTACCATTTCTACAATGTAATCTATGGCACGTGTGCACAGTCTGATTATGGTTTATGTCTATTTGACTATGATAGCTTTAAGCAGACTTTGTTAAAAGGCAGTGGTTCAATGGTCAAGGCTCTGCCAAACTGCTACTATTGGGTCCTTGAGCAAGGCCCTTAACCCTATCTGCTCCAGGGGTGCTGTCTGACCCCAGCTTCCAAACAAGCTGAGATATGCAAAGAAAACAATTTCATTGTGCTGTAATGTATATGTGACAAAGAGAGACTTCTTAAAAGCTAGTTAATCTGGTTCTTTATTGCTTTTAAAGAAAGGAAATAAAAACAGGTCTGTGCCCACTGTAGCCTCAGATTCCTGTTCTTGACTGGCAGGAGAGGTCTTCTGTTGTAACCTGTCCGCCTCAAGGTTCAATGTGTTGTGTGTTCTGAGATGCTTTTCTGCTCACCACGGTTGTAAAGAGTGGTTATTTGAGTTGCTGTAGGCTTCCTGTCCTCTCTAACCAGTCTGGCAATTTTCCTTTGCATTCTCTCATCAATAAGCTGTTTCCACCCGCAGAACTGTCGCTTGCTGGATGTTTTTTTTTTTTTTTTTTTTTGCTGTTGATGTTGTTTTTACACTGTCTACAGACTGTTGTGCATGGATATCTCAGGAAAATTAGCAGTTTCTGAAATAGCAAGAAATGAAAACAAGCCCATCTGGCACCAACATCCATACTACAGTCAGAGTCACTAATATCACATTTCTCTGCCAAACTGCCACTGTTGGGTCCTTGAGCAAGGCCCTTAACCCTATCTGCTCCAGGGGTGCTCTCTGACCCCAGCTTCCAAACAAGCTGAGATATGCAAAGAAAAGAATTTCATTGTGCTGTAATGTATATGTGACAAAGAAAGACTTCTTAAAAGCCAGTTAATCTGGTTCTTCATTGCTTTTGAAGAAAGGAAATAAAAACAGATCTCGATCATATTGGTGAAATATACCCTAGTTATTTGCTGAAATATACCCTGGAGGACTAGTGGTCAGGCCTTGGCGCTCTCAACACCGTGGCACAGGTTCAATTCCCGGCCAGGGAACCACAAGACAGTGCACTCCCAGTGCAGGTCCCAAGTCTGAATAAAATTGGGGAGGGTTGTTTCAGGAAGGGCATTCGACATAAAAACTGCCAAATCAAATATGTGGACCAGTGGTCCACTGCAGCAGCCCCTGATGGGATCAGCTGAAAGAAAAAGAAGAACAACATCAACATATTGATGATTCCTTAAAGTAGAGGTGTCAAAATATGTTAGAATTTGGTCGAAACTAGATTTTTCATCATTTTTGGCTGTTTTCTAGAATTCAGGCTCAGCAGCACTGATAGGTTAACAGGTTCTGTTCACTACATGTGAAAAATCTGTGAAAGTTGTACAAAGTTATACCTGAAGTTTGTAAAACCAAAGTGATGTGATTATTCACATGTGAAGTTCATGCGATTTTTCTGTAAGAGAGTCAGAGTCCAGCACTGCTTTGCGCGTTCCCGTCAGATTATATAGGATAGTAAAGGAACCACTAACCTGCACCAACCTTTAACCTGCCAGGACGTGAGTTACACACTCCTGTCTTATATCTTTATCATAAGCAAAGTATACCAATCCATCAGTCAGTTCTCAACTGCAATTTCTGTTTCTCTGCATTTAGCTCTCAGCCAGTAAATATAATCTTAGCCTCTTTACTCCCACTCCTGCTCCATATAAGGGAGCTATCCCATCAGATGCCATTCTTATCAGCATTTTTCCCAGTATATCATTCAGTTTATGGGCCCAAGGGACTGTGTCTCTTTTCCCTTTTATTAAATCAACGCAGCAGCCTGACACTCGGGCAGGTTGCAGAGAGACTCAGCATGCATCTGGGCTGTAGCTGAGCTCAGACTGCTCTGCCAATATATCATAATACAATCTCCCCATACCAAGACTAGCTTACAGCTCCAACCACTAAATGTGCTGCTTGCAGGCACACAGCAGCGTAAGAAAACAAACAAAAAAAAGCAGAAAACATATGTAAAAGAGAAGAGCTGTAAAGGAGAAGAGCTTCATCCCTGGTTTATTAATGTGCTTGGACATCCTCAATACAGATAAATAATTAGAAATGAGAGCATGCTGATGAATTATTCTTATCCTTGGAGATACTGGAAAATATTCCATATCGCTTGAGGGATCATAGGTGGAATCCACGAATGTACACTGAAAATGCCGAATGAAAAAAAATATCTAGAGATATGAAGACTCTTCAGTGTGAGAAAGAAGAAATAAGAAGAACTCGGTGTACTTTCCTAAGAGAGAGAGAGAGAGAGAGAGAGAGAGATGAATCCACAATATTTATTCATTTCTTTGAAACATGATCAAGTGGAGCCTTTGCAGTAGGTAAAAAAAAATAGAGAAGATACAGCTATTTATGTAAAGCACATGTTCATGAAAGGCTACTGTAAAGTCTCAGATTAGTTATTCTCTAACTGTCTGCTGGAACAAATAGTACAGAAAGCACAGTCAGCATATGTTAATGCAGTAAATAAATTCAGGCCACACTGAAGCAATTGGAAAGTATACTGGAGTCCAGCATTGTGGATATAAAATGGAACAGTTGACAAGCAAGTGCAGAAAGTTGGATTTATTTCTATATTGTGTGAATCATATATGAATCACAAAATGGTTCCCTTCATGTCCCCTGAAATCAAAAGTAATGGGTAACTGTATATGGGTAATCTTCACCTGCCACTGAAATGGACACTTGAAGATTAGAAAAACATCTCATCTTTTTGCCAAACTTCAACTGTCTAGATTCAGTGAGTCTATGCCCACTGTAGCTTCAGATTCCTGTTCTTGACTGACAGGAGAGGTCTTCTGTTGTAGCCTGTCCGCGTCAAGGTTCGATGTGTTGTGTGTTCTGAGATGCTTTTCTGCGCACCACGGTTGTAAAGAGTGGTTATTTGAGTTGCTGTAGGCTTCCTGTCCTCTGTAACCAGTCTGGGAATTTTCCTTTGCCCTCTCTCATCAATAAGCTGTTTCCACCCACAGATCTGTCGCTTACAGACTGTTTACAGACTGTTGTGCATGGATATCTCAGGAAAATTAGCAGTTTCTGAAATAGCAAGATCACTAAAAAGTCACTAATATCACATTTTTCCCTATTCTGATGTCTGATGTGAATATTAACTGAGGCTCTTGATCTGTATCTGCATTATTTTATGCACTGGGCTGCTTCCATTTGATTGGCTGATTGGATATTATAGGAACTCTGGGCAGGAATAGATCCTTGTGAATCACATGACACCATGCACACACATTCACACTACTACTATGTGTTTGAGAGCTGGGAAGAAACCAGAGAACCCAGAGAAAACCCACACAGACATGGAGAGAAGATGAGAGACTCCACACAGATGATAACCCGAGCTCAGGAAGGAACTGGCAGACTGTGTTGCCCCACATTATTTTTAATTTTATAAAATGTTTTAATCTTGTCAAATTCAACACCCATAATCCTAGCACTCAATACTGCATGCCCTTCAGTCTTTTTTTAAATCGTTTATTCACATAGTGACACATGTTCCATATAATGAAGAACCTAAAATTGGATGAGAAAAATATTCAGTTGTTATAATATTATTGTCTTGAAAATGCGAGGTGTGAACACCAATACCGCATCCAGTCCCTGGGGCTTGAGTCAAACAATAACAGAAATATTGCTCTCTTCAGCAGGAACTGGAATCCTTTTACAGCCTGAACCAATAAATACACTTTCCTTTGCTGTTATATATGCATACTCTAATTAATTACTGTGTGGTTCAATTCTTTAATGCAAAGGAATTGCTAATCTTGCAGTGTTGTCAATTAACTGGAATTAACTAGTGTCTTTTAGTTTTCACTTTAAAGAAAGCCATGCTGCTTCTCTTACTTTTAAGAATTTAAATTGGCAATGGACAAGAAAGCTGCCGTTTATGGAATGATAATTAGGTACCAAGGGTCTGAGAGAAATTCCAGCTCATGGCAAGAACTTTTAATCTGGATGGTTTGTTTTTTAGCCTACAGCCGACTCAGAATTGGCAGAGTTGTGGTTGTGCCATTAAATATGTATATATAACCAAACCCTGATAGATACCTTTCCAGAACCTTGCTATATATTTATATTTATATTGAGATCATGTGACACTTTAATTGCACTCCATCCTGTGACTTCTAATGGCAACCGGTTGCATGAGAACTGACCAGGGACTTCACAGCAACAGGGATGAATACTTGATTTGTAAATAATTTTGCAAACTTGATTGATTTTTGACTTCTCTGCAAATGTATTGACCCCCACTCAATATTAATTGCTATTTTGTATAGATTTAGGACATATATTCCCAATTATTAGCAGAGTGATACAGCGGGTGGCCTTGCTGCCTCCCAGCTCCAGGTCCTCAGTTTGAGTCCGTGCTTGGGGCAATCCTGTGCATTTTCTCTGTGTGAAGGCTTGGTGCACATTCTCCCCATGTCTGTGTAGGTTTCCTCCGAGTTCTTCATTTTTCCCTCATGTCAGAAGGGGAATTGGATACTCCGAATGCTACTCTGTGGTGATACTCTACATGGTGCCCTGCAACAGACTGGTGTCCCATCCAGTGTTCCTGGGATTGGTTCTGGATCCACCGACACCCTGACTGAAGATAAATGAAGTGAATGAATCCTAATTAAGTCCACTGCAGGTTGTAATATAACAAAATGTGGAAAATAGGGTTCTTAGCTACCTAAAAGGGTTTTAGTTTGGAAATGTTCATCTTCATTTCCTAGAGGGACAATCAAAGAACCCTTAAGAGCTCTAGATTTGATCTCTTTTTATAAGAATACATTAATCTGGTTTTGTCAAATTCTTCCTCGCAGCACAACTCCATATGAGATGTGCACTGCATTCATGCTTTGTTTGGAGTTCATGTCATGTGGTTTTGTTTTGACATGTGCCAAAACATGGGTGCTGTCCCCGCCCCTGTCCTGTCATTGGCATGTTTCCCCATTTTCCATGTGTCCACATACTCTCTGTTTAGATCTTGATTAGTTTGTCAATACAAACTCTGCTCTTTCTGTCTTCCATTGTGAAGTATTATTATGCATCAGTGTGGTTAAGTCCAGACCTTGTTTTCTTAATTTTCATGTTCTGTGTTTCTTTTTCACATTTTTGATTGTAGATATGCCTTGTTTGATGGTGCCTGCCTGTTAACTGACCTGTGTTATGGACATTGATAATGAGTCTTGAATTTCCCTAAATAAAAGACACACTGACACACACACACACACACACACACACACACACACACACACACACAGAGATAACTCCTCATATAACCACACATTTCAGGTTTTGTTATGTAGTTTGTAGATGTTCGAATGTACATTTATGGAAAGTTTTGTAAAGATGAAGTGCTCTGAAAGAGCTTTCTTTTTTATTCAGGCTCTAGTAAATGTCTGATGAATTGAAATTTTAAAAGATTCTTTGCTTGTAATGATTTGATTGTGATTAATTTGGCAATTTGTTGATTATTGTATTGGTTTAATAGCCTGTAATTGAGTCTCGCATAAATAATCTCGCATAAACAGAAGCTTGGCTGGTATTGTATCATTTTTCAGTTATATGAAGTGTATATATGAACAGGAGATGATATCCTAGTGGAGAGAAGGCAGAATTAGAAGTAGTGTGGAAAAGGTGTGTGAAAGGTGTCAGAACACACAGTGCATTGCAGCTTGCTGTGTATGGGGCTGCATAGATGCAGACCATCAGAGTGCCCATGTTGACCCCTGTCCACCTCCAAAAGCGACTACATTGGGCATGTGAGCATCAGAACTGGAACAAGGAGCAATGGAAGAAGGTGGGCTGGTCTGATGAATCACGTTTTCTTTTACATCATGTGGACAGCCAGGTGTGTGTGATCTGCTGCTAACGTCTTGGTGCCAGATACCACAGCACACCTTCAGAGGTCTTGTAAAGTCCATGCTTTGACGAGACCCGATAGCCAGTTTCAATGTTCTGGCTGATCAATATATATATATATATATATATATTTTTTTTT